ACACCCTCTACCCCACATACATAATACACAATAAATATAAAGTACATTCCTGAGTAAATAAAACTTTCTTAATCGAAACAAGGTTCCAAAACACATAGATAGAGAGTTCACATTCATATTTCACAAATCGTAGTCCAATGCGGAAATGATGACAAAATAAAACATTAATCTTTCCAAAACAACATCATATCTCATGTCATTTGTTCACATTTCACATAGTCATACTTATAATTGTTTCTCATAGGGTTTTGCATAGCAACCCACAGAGCACTCTAATTCATCTCAAAACTTATCTATTTTCAAAATTAATCACATATTCATACATCACATCCAACAAGGAACACAACAGAACAATCAAAAAGAAAAATAGAAAACATTCATATTTTGCCTGTTTCTCATAGGGTTCTCTCAGAAACCCACAGAACACTCTAATTCATATTAAAACTTATTTATTTTCAACATTAATCACATATTCATACATCACATCCAACAAGGAACACAACAGAACAATTAGAAGATAAAACATAAAACATTCATATTTTGTCTGTTCCTAGAAGCATGCATCAAGCAAGGGATTGAGGGCCAATCCTACTACCCAACAATTATTCCCATACCTCCGAGCGAGATTTCTCACTCCCTTCTTACCTGGATAAGCAGAAGATGAAGCTAGAGCAGAACCTAGTTGATCTCCTTCTTTTGGTTCCCCTTGGTCTTCAAGGAGTGTGTCCAAGAGCCGTGTTGAAGTTTGCTATTTATATATGTCAGAAGTGGCTATAACGGCCCGTTTTGGATCCAGAATGGCCTGTTCTGGATCCTTTCATCATGTGTTAAATTTGCATCTAGAACGGCCCGTTCTAAAACCAGAACGGCTTGTTTTGGAGTTGAGTTTAACTCATAACGACCATGTTTGGAACGACCGATTCCCAACTTTGGAACGGCCCGTTCTCAACTAGGATTTATAGGTCTTTTTAGTAGTTTGGAATGGCCCGTTCCAATTTGAGAATGACCCGTTCTAGGCTACTAAATCACCCTTATTTGGGCTTTCAGCCTTCATATAATTTGTGAAAATTAGGGTGTTACAATCTAGGAGTACATGTAGGGAACTACCCATACACTCTCATCTACAAGGATGTACTACTAGGGTCTAGTCGAGATAATGAAATTGTGCGAGTTACGTCTCATTCTTACAAACGGGTGGAATCAAGACATCCAATGTGACACCCTCTACCTCACATACATAATACACAATAAATATAAAGTACATTCCTGAGTAAATAAAACTTTCTTAATCGAAACAAGGTTCCAAAACACATAGATAGAGAGTTCACATTCATATTTCACAAATCATAGTCCAATGAAGAAATGATGACAAAATAAAATATTAACTTTTCCAAAACACAATAGTAAGCAGTACAAATTAGACTTGGTGTAATTTGAAGTGTTAAAATTTATGAGAAACAAAACTTCTCTGGAATAATCGATTATCT